TAGGACACACAGGACAGACAGACATTATCTCCCCCCCCTCCCGCAGCACACGACGCTGGCCGTCCCCACTCACAGAACACAGAGGTTTTAGTGCAAAGAAATCTCCAGCCTGCATCCTTTGCCGGGCCCTGCCCCTTCCCGCCGGGCTCTGGTGCACCTGGCACACGGCCATCGGAGGGGGGCCAGCCTGCCAGCCTCTGGGACAGAGGGAAACTGAGGCACATACCTGCCCACCACTGCCCTCACCCCCTAGACCCCACTCCCCTCCAAAAATTTTACCTGCTGCTCATGTAGGGGAAGGGGGTCTAGTGGTTAGAGCGGGGGTGGGGTGGGGTCTGGGAGCCAGGACTCCTGGGTTCTAGCCTGGCTCCGGGGGGAGGGGGCGCTAGTGGTTAGAGCGGGGGCGGGCAGCCAGAATGACCGCACCGCGGAGATCAGCAACTGGTCTGCAACGCCACTTCCCCACCACCACCCCGCGTGTAATGGGAGCGTCTTGCCTGCAGCCCTGCCTCCAGCCCCTAGGGGGAGACAGAAGGCTGCACACCTGGCACGCATGCGAGGGCAGCTCCCCAGCAGGCCCCTAGGGGGAGACATGGGGTACTGAAGCACCTGCTCGGACACCTGCCAGCCCCTCCCACTCCCCCTAGTGGCCGGAGGCACCAGCCCCGTGGCTCCCCCCACGGGCAAAGCCTCCCCCTAGTGGCAGGCAATGGGAACAGGCCCGGTTCCGACTCCCTAGTGGCCCCTGGACACGGGATGGGGTAGAGGTGAAAAAGGGCCACGCGCAGCACCTCACGTAGCCCATCCCTTTCCTTTCTCGCCTGCGACCCCCACATGGTGGGAAACACCCCCTCCTCTCCCACAGGGGGTCACGCCCCCCCGTGACATTCACTCAGTGGGTGATGCCAGGATCAAAGCAATAAATACGCAGCTTTAGGCAGGAGCCGGGCAGGGGCAGCGCGGCTTGGTCCCCGCTGCGCCCCCTGCCGCCAGGAGGGAGGGCAGCACGTCCCCTTCCAGCCGTTTCTGGCTACCCCCTGAAACAAGCCGGCCGGAGAGGGGACTGGGGCCCCTCTCTCCGCGCCCAGCCGGGGGCATCAGCCGGTGGCAATCTTGAGGCGGTTGATGCCGGTGATAAGTCTGGCGAGGGCCCGGTGCACCTGGCCCTGGATGGGGCCGTATTCCACCCGCTCACCGTCCACGGTCAGGATGCCCTTGCGGGTGAGGGGCTCCAGGCGGAAGGCCCGGACGGGCACGTGGACGAGATGGGGGCACTCCTGCTCGAAGTGGCTGCCCTTCTCCATGGCCAAGAAGAGGCGGACCAGGGCGGCGCGGGAGATGCCGGCTTTGATGAAGCAGAGGTGGATGAGCCCGTCGTCGAAGCGGGCGAAGGGGGCGGCGAAGAGGTCGGCCCCCAGGTGGCTCTGGTAGATGGCCAGCACCAGCACAAAGTCGTCCTCCACCGTCACCCAGGAGCCGGGCACCGGCTGCCCCAGCGGCACCAACAGCTCGTCCGGGGGGCCGCCCACCTGGGCCTCACCCGCCCCGCCGGCCGGCAGCTCCCCCGGCCCAGGCTCGAAGGAGAAGCTGGGCGGGGGCAGGACGGAGGCGGAGGAGGGGGGCGGGGAGCCGGGCGAGGGGCAGGGTGCGGGAGCCGGCTCAGCCCCCCGGAAGGCGTGGCGCTCTTCACACAGCCCCATGTCGGACAGGGCGCGGTGCAAGGGCAGGCGCTGCAGGGGCAGGCGGCCGTTGGGGGCCACGGTGATGCTGCGGGAGATGGGCCGGTGGGCGGTGGCGTCGGCGGCGGGCAGGTAGGAGAGGCGCCCGCGGTAGGTGTGCATGGAGGCCAGGCGCACCAGAGTGCCCAGCGTGAAGCGGGCGGCGCCCATGTGCCGGTACTTCTCGCTCTCGATGTCCACGTCCGAGACGAAGCCCCAGGCCACGCTGAGGCAGGAGAAGCAGCGGGCACCCGAGGCCGTGGTGACGGCCACCAGGTCCAGCGGGGCCACAGCCGCATGGCACAGCAGCAGGGCGCAGTTCAGCAGCAGCTCCAGGCCCAGCACCTGCTCCAGCCTGCTGGGGGGCAGGATTGGGGTGAGCCGACCGGCCAGGGGATGCAGCCCCCTGGCAAACCACCCCCCCGATCCCCCTTGCTGCAGGGGGAGCCGCTCGCCCCAGCTCCCAGGGGGACACATGGGGAGAGCAGGTTGGGCAGGAGGTGCAGGATAGGGGAGGGCCTCTCCCCACAACCCCCATTTGCTCCCCATGCACCCCCCCAGTCCCAACTCCCCTTCCTGAGCCGGGTATAGAACCCAGAAGTCCTGACTCTCAGGCCCCCCCCAACCACTAGACCCCCTTCCCTTCTCAGAGCCAGAGAGAACCCAGGCATCCGGGCTCCCAGGCCCCCCGTCCCCCACACACCCCCGCTAGCGCTGCCCTTACCCGGCATTACAGTTGATGGCTCCGGCCAAGGCGTTCCCCGAACCACTCGGTAAAATCCCAACCGGCATCTTGATCGCCTGCTCCCAGTCAGGGCGCTCCATCAGCCCGTTGAGAACCTGCTCGGCACAAAGGTGAACCACTGTGGGATCTAGTGGTTAGAGTAGGGGGGGCTGGGAGCCAGGACTCCTGGGTTCTCTCCACAGCTCTGGGAGGGGAGTGGAGGCTAGTGGTGAGAGCAGGGGGGGGGGCCTGGAAGTCAGGACTCCTGGGTTCTTTCCCTGGCTCCGTGAGGGGAGCGGACAGCAGGGGAGGGTGCCGGGGACGTTATGGCCGGGGAAGGGGCGGGGCATTACCTCATATAGGAGCCCATCCCCTGAGATGGCGACGATCCCATCCCATTCTGCCAGGTTGATGCTCTTCACCAGCTCCCGGGCGTGGTTTGGCCTCTCTGGGAGCAGGAGGAGAGAGACGGGGTATCAGACAGCCCGTCGCCCTGCCCCCCAGGCCCTTCCCCCTCCCCCACAGCCCATCTCCCTGCCCCCCAGGCCGCAGGCCCTTCCCCCTCCCCCACCAGCCCGTCGCCCTGCCCCCCAGGCCCTTCCCCCTCCTCCCCAGCCCATCGCCCTGCCCCACAGGCCGCAGGTCCTTCTCTCTCCCGCCCGCCCCCGGTCCCCTGTCACCTGTCTGGATCAAGTTGAAGCTGATGTCCGCCTCCGTGATCATGGGCAGCACATGGGTCTGGCACCACTGGAGGGCCAGGCCCCTGCCCCCAAACGGGTTCAGCAGCAGCAGCAGCCGGCGTGGGCGCGGCAGGAGGCTGGGGGCGATGTCTGAAAGGAGAGCAGGGAGAGCAGGTCAGGGGAACCCCGCCTGGCGCTGAGATGCGGCTGCCTCTGGGGCGAGGCGCGGGGGCTGGGTATACAGGGAGCCCTTGCCCAGTGCTGAGACGTGGCCCTTCTGGGGCCGGGGGCTGATTTCACGGGGACCCCCTCGCCCGGCGCTGAGACGCGGCTGCCTCTGGGGCCGGGGGCTGGTTACACAGGGACCGCTCGCCCGGCGCTGAGACCCGGCTGCCTCTGGGGTGGGGCGCGGGGAGTACAGGAATTGTAATGGAATGCTGAACTGTTGAGCCACCCGATGCCCGTGGGCACCACACACCTCGCTGGAGCCAACCTCAGCCGTCCCTGCCCTTCCCCCCGGCAGCACATTAAAGGCTGATGGAAGGCCCAGCCGGGCGAGGGAAGCCCTGTACTCCAGCCAGATCTGATACAGACGCCTGCCGTGTTAGCAGCCCTGCCGCTTCCTGTACACAAGGTGCACGCTCCGGGCTGCCAAGAGCGAGCCAGAGGGAAGACATGGAAGCACCAAATGTTGCAACCAGGAAGCATAAAAAACCCCAACATACACCCCCCCCTCCCCCCGCAGACTCCAATCACCCGGTCTCGCCTCAAAGCCCCTGAATCTCTCAGCTTCGCTAGCCCACCCATTGGCAAAGCTCCCCAAGGAGAGGGACAATCCACAGGGTGCTCCTTCCGCTCCGAGCAAATGGGTACATGCTCTGACTTCCCCGAAGCCTGTCGCTAGGCTGACAAGGCCAGGCTGCTGCCAATTTTTGGTGCCTGCTTTATACTGCGGAGAACCGTGGCTTATGGAACAGCAGGTGTCCAGCAGAGAGCTGAAGGAGCAGGGGGAAAAAGGCTGCCGGTTTCAGAAGAGCTCGGCACGCATTGGCTGGCAACACGAAAACACCAGGGCCAGGCTGGGCGTTGGGTGCACGGATAAAAACCTTGCAGGGCAGTTGAAATTAAAGCCAGACTTAACCCTGTTCAAACAGCAAGCCCCAGCAATGCGGAGGGCAGCTGGCCAAACCTGAAAAACCAGAAACCAGCTTAGAAGCTGTTTGGACACGGTAGGAGGACAACAAGCCGTTGCCATGAAACCTCGGAGGCAAGGAGCGAGATCTCCCAGGCGAAAGGGTCAAACTCCAAACGCCAAAGCCTGACAGCCTAAATGCACAAGTTGGGGAACATTCGTATCCCAAGAGACGACGCACGCCCAGCCGAAGACGCACGCTTTCATAAATGCACGAAGTATGGACATTTTGCAGCAGTTTGCCGCACCCACGCGGTCTGAGCGGGGACTTGTATTACAGACAATCCAGATGAGACGTTGTTCTGGGACCGATCACGTGTGATGCCAAAGAGCCTGCCTGGAAGGCGAAAGTGAATATTCGTGGCAAGACTTGACAACTGGCCCAGGAGCAGAGGTCTCCCTCACGTCCGACGGGATTTACAATCGCCTTCGACCCCAACCAGAGTCGAGGTCACCTCATGCAGCCGTGACTTGCCCTGGAGGGCAGCCCAGGCCGGCTCATCGCAGAAATGACTTACAGAGACAACGGCTTTGCGTTCAGAGCGCACGGGATCAAAAACCAACGACCTTCTCGGCCGCCGCGTGGCAGCCACGATGGAAGAATTTGACGGAGGATTTGATCTTGGACGTTGGAAAGGAGATCCAGTAGAAAACAACAGGCCACGATTCACTGCCGCGGGATTTCAGTCATTTTGATCGCAAGCGAATGGAGACGCTGAGGAAATCAGAGAGCCCAGAAAAATCCCACAGCAGGGAAGAGCCATCCTTCGCTCTTCCGAGTTACAGATAGACACCGATAGCAGCTCCTGGCCATAGTCCTGCACAGCTCCGGATGGCACGACAACTCAGCGCTCCCGATCCGGCTTTGGAAAAGAATCTATGGAGAGAGTCACCAAGCCTAGAACCAGGCGATCACGTTCGCGACCGAGGGGACGGAGAAAAAGGATGGTGAACTCCAGCTGTCGAGTGCCCTGATCACATGGGATTGACACGTCTCCGTCCGTTCGTCGGGAGGAACGAGCCAGAACGCAACCTCCCCCCGCAGGTGGCGGATGCAGAGCGAGGCACCGACCGCTGAAGGATGCCAGGCCGACCACGGCCAGGCGGTGCAGCGAACGGCCAGCCAGGCGGCCAAGCTGTGACACAGTCGGGTCATGTAACGAGGAACCCAGGACAATATTAGACTGATCCGCCCTGAGCTTCTGAGCCAGCGTGACAGTGGCAGGAGGGTGGGATGTGGGGGCTGGTTATACATGGACCCCTCGCCTGGCACGGAGATGCAGCCCCTCTGTGGTGAGGCATAGGAAGAGGGCCCTCTACTGAGTCCCCCACCCCACTCCAGGCTGCATAGCACCCCCCTAGGGCCCAGCACAGACTGCCAGGGGAGAGCGCCCTGCCCGGCAGGGTGAGGGAAGTAGATAAGTGAGCCCGGAGGATGTGCAGGGAGGAAAGATGAACCCAGAACCACCACCACACACTGCAAAAGGAATGCTGGGGCATGCAAACACTCATCCATTTCCTAGTGCCTGCCCACTGGGAGCTGGGAGCCAGGACTCTTGGGTTCTCTCCCTGGCTCTAGGACGGGAGTGGGGTATAGTGGTTACAGCAGGGAGCCAGGACTCCTGGGTTCTATCCCCAGCTCTGGGAGGGGCATGTAATCAAGTGGTTGGAGGGGGGTGGATGCTCCTCACTCCAAGTCAAAAGTTCCCCGGTTATCGTACCAGGCGGAGACGGCTGCACTTTACACCCAGGGCTGATAGTGGGGCAGGTTCTGCAGGGTCCCCAGCCCAGAGAGGCAGCGCTGATACCCCCCCAATATACCCTATGCCCAGCGTGCCCCTCAACCAGCCAGCCCCACTCATGCACCTCAATTGCACCCATGCACACCCCTGCCAGAGCCCCCCACCCTGTCCCTACGCACTCCCTGGAGCCAACCCCCATGCCACCAAGCCCCCGTCCATGGCATCTGCCCCCCAATCCAGCCCCGCCTTCAGCACCCTCCCATCCCTCAGCAGGTGCATAGAGCTGGGGAGCCAGTGCCGAAGGCAACCCCCAGTCCCTCCAGGAGGGATCCTGCCCCCCCAGGGTTTGGGAGGCTCCTTGAGAGGCCCTGATATGGGAGGGGTTAGACCAAGTGTGTGTGCAGGGGGAGAGATGGGGCCCCCAAGGGGAGCCTAGGGGGTGGAGGACAAGGAATCCGACAGCCCCACCTTCAAGACAATCCATTGACCTTTGGCCACGCTGTGGAAGACAAAGGAGCCCAGCCCAGCCCTGCCCCTGGATCCCCGCCCGGGACAAGGAAAGGACGGGGCCGCACCCGGCCTGCAAATTCCCTGAACCGAGGCGTTGCCATCCGGGCCCCAAGCATGCCAGGCACCACCCGGGTACTGGTTCCCCAGCCCCACCTGCGGGCACACACAATCCAGATAGCCTGCCTCCCAGCTGCCCCATACTCTAGGGGCTGGACCCCTCTCCCAGGGCCGGGGAGAGAACCCAGGCGTCCTGATCCCAGCTCCCCATTCCACCCGCCACGCTCTAAGCACCAGACTCCCCCTCTCCTCCCAGGGCCAGGGAGAGAACCCAGGCGTCCGGGCCCCCATCCTGTGCCTGTAAAACCCACCAAGGGCGGTTCAGCCTGGCAGGCGAAGCTAGAGGGGGCAGGTGGGGCAGGGGTCCCCTCTTCGCCGGGTCTGGTTTTGGGGCTCTCCAGCAGCTGAGATCACGGAGCCATTGCTGGCTGCAACCCCCTGTCCCGGGCACACATTCAGGGCCAGGGCAGTGAAACGTCCGAGGGGGGCTGACGTCCCATCTCCAGGCCCCGGGCGGAACCGTCTCTGGGTCTCCACAACAGCATCTGTTTTATTATTGTTACAGCAGGTCCAACCGGAGAGAACTTAGTCTCGGGTTCTGGGAGCCAGGATGCCTGGGTTCTCTCCCTGGCTCTGGGAGGGGAGTGGGGTCTCGTGGTTAGAGCAGGGGAGGGCTGGGAGCCAGGACTCCTGGGTTCTCTCCCTAGCTCTGGGAGTGCGGTCTAGTGGGTGAGGGCGATGCGGGTGGGGGCTGGGAGCCAGGACTCCTGGGTTCTCACCCCAGTTCCGGGAGGGGAGCAGGGCAGACGGCACAGTGGTGGCCTTACCTGTGTCACTGGAGATGGGGATACCCAGCACCAGGCACTTGATGGCAGCCGCCCATTTCTCCGCCACCGCTTGGTTCTTCTCGTAGTCGTCGGCCCCGTCCACTTGAAAGGTCCGTGCCGCCCTCTGCCGCCCGCGCCCCGACCCCACCGCCACCTTCCTCTTCTTCAGCGGGTAGGCGTAGACAGAGAAATACGCCGCCCGGTCGGCCGGCGCCCGGCTGCGCAGCGTGTGGCAGCCCACCACCTCGGCCAGGGGCACCACGGTGCGCTGGTCCGTCTCCGGCTTGGGCACCAGCCGCTGGATGTGCAGCGCCGTCTGGGTCAGGCTGAGGGCGTAGCGGGAGCCCTTGGAGGGGTAAGCCCCAAACTCCCCGTGAAGCAGCGTCTCCGCGCCCTCGCCGTACGGGCCCAGGACGAGGCTCATCTTCCCGGCGGTGCCGTGGCCCACCCAGCCTTCCCCAGCAGGCTCAAGCCGCACCTCGGGTGGGTCCTTCCAGCACCATCCACTCTCCCCCAGTTCCCCACCCCACCCCGCCCAAACCGCCACTAGGACATGGCCCGCTCCTGGGCAGGGGGGTGGATCAGCACCGGGCCGGCGGGCCAGGGAACAACTAACCCCACTAGGAGAAATGTCCAGACCCAAACCCCAAGTCTGTTCTGCTGCCTCTGGCCCACCCAGACTCCGGTGAGATCGTCACACCCCAAGATGCCCCATCCCCGCGGGGAGCGCCCCGGGGCAGGAATCTTGGGGAATCTCAGGCAGCCGAGGAATGAGAACCGGCCTGACTAAGCGGCTCAGCCGGGGGAAGGGCCCGCAGGGATCCAGAAGCCGGCTTTAGCCTTTCCCCTCCCGAGGGGCCCAGCGGGGAGGGGGGAGCTGAGTTGGGTCCAGCCCTCTCCCCCCTCCCCGATGTCTGCCTTCGCCTGGCGGTGGGGGGCCCGGCTAGGCAGGAGGGAGCCAGGAGTCGCTGGGATTTTTAAAGACACTTAGAAAGTTTCTCTCCACCACCCCCCTCCCACCGGCCCGCAATGGGGCCTGGGGAAACGGGGGGGTTGGAACCGATCCAGACCCCCCCAGCTAGGGACGCAGGCGGGGAGCAGCCTGGCCCCGCGCTATAGGGCAGGGGGGCTGGGAAATGGGCCCCCCTGCAGGGCTGACACCTGCCACCATCCCCTGCCCCCGGCAGCAGGTGCTTCCCCTCGCCCCCCTCTTACTCCCTCGCCCCCCTTCCCTCTGCCCCCCCTGGAGCTGCCTCCCTCCCTCCCTCCCTCCCTCTCTCCAGGAAGTGCTTCCAGCAGCCGCTAGCCGGCCCCATAAATGGGGAGGCGTGGCTGGCTCCAGCCAATCACAGAGCTGCCCTTCCAGTCTCACCAATCAGGGCGCTCGACACCCACGCCCACCTCCGCTCCTACTCCCGGACCAGGCGGCGGCCACCTTTGTGGTGGGCAGCGCCGGCTTCGCCCTGCTTCCGAACGCCCCTGTGGCGGCCATCTTTGTTGTGGGCGGAAAGGTCTGGCTCCACCCTCCTCCCTGCGATTCAATGGGATGTGGCGGCCCTTTTGAGTGTGGGCAAGGGAGATAGTTTCCTCCCTGTATGAACCGACGCAGTGGGGCGGCCATCTTTGTTCTGGGAACTAGGCCCTGCCTTTATTCCCAGCCCTCCCATAGTAATCAAATGGGCATTACGGCCATCTTGGATGTGGGCAAAGAAAATTGCTTCTCCCTCCATAACAGCTAATGCAGATGGCGGCCATATTTAGTAGGGGAAATGCAGAGCTGGACTCCCATTGTGCTAGGAGCTGTACATCAGTTATTAGGGGTATTACGGTAGCACCTAGGAGCTCCAATCACGGCCCAGGACCACATTGCGCTAGGGGCTGTACATTATTATTTCTACCAGGTGTTAATACGGTGCCGCCCAAGAGCTCACAATCTAAGCACCCACAGTGGTTTAAGTTTATTATAAGTGTAACAAATTAATAATAAATTAATAAATAATAATTTGTAATAAAAACAACGAATTATTTGCATTGTGCTAATACTTAAAGGCATCAATCAGACTCTATGTATTATTTTTAATAATGAGACACACACTATTATTCTAGTCTATTCCTCCCATATTGGTATATAGATTTTTTATCCCATCTGTGTGGTAACCAATTCCTCCCCTCCTCCTACCCCCCAAGATTCAAATGTACAAGTAATTGTGTATGAATGGCAACCAGAGAGACCTGAAAATGAATGGACGGAAGAAGTTTTCCATTGGAAAATGAATATCAGGTAACATCAAAACGCAGGCATGTGTCAATGTCTTGTAAACGTTCTGCAGAAAACGTTTCCTTTCAATATGGGCCAAAGGTTTCCTTTCGGCCGCTTCCTTTGGGCTTTGATGTTCTCCGTGATAAGGCAACACAATAGAAAGGCTTAAAGGTGTCCATGAGGCCGAAAGGAAGCAACTCGGGATGAATTATTTTGCCCAAACAGGTGAGATTTCCACTTGAGGGAGGAAACGAAATTGCAACATGTCAGAATTCCCCATGGATCTGAGGCGCAGTCACTGTGGTCTAGTCTAGTGTCCAAACTAGTCTAGTCCGGCTGGTCTAGTCTGTCCAGTCTAGGATGACCAGACAGCAAGTGTGAAAAATCGGGACAGGGGGTGGGGGGTAATAGGAGCCTATATAAGAAAAAGACCCAAAAAATCGGGACTGTCCCTATAAAATCGGGACATCTAGTCACCCTAGTCCAGTCACCAACTTCGGATCTGTTCTGCTCTATTCCTGTCTAGTGACCATGTTATATTGTACTCTGGTTAACTCCAGTAGCCACATTCTGTTCTGCTCTAGTATCCCTGGCCCAGCCTAGTCTAGCCCCAATCTCTGTGATAACTGATCTGGCTGGGCTCCATACACTCTATCAGCTGCTCTATTATAGTTCGGAGTCCTCCAGCACCATCGAGCCCGCCGGCCGGAGCGTCGCACGTCTGGCCCCAGCGGGGCTCTGCCTGCCGCCGCGCTGCCATAGAGCGGAGCGCCCGCTCCCATCAGCACCCGCGCGGCCCCGCCTCCTTCCTTCCCAGGCCGAGCCGCCGCCGCCGCCATGGTAAGCGGGGGGGGGGGCGCAGGGGAATCCGCCGCCATCCGCCGGGCAGGGGGCGCCGAGCTCGGGCCCGGGGCTGCGGGGGCCGTGGCGGGGCCCCGGGGGGCCGGATCGCCCTGAATGGGCGGGGGGGCCTCCATCGTCGGGGCCTCCCCGCACACATGCGGGGAGCTGGGGGGGCTCCTGCCCGGGGACAGCTGGTGGGGGGCGGGCAAGGGGAGGGGTCTGGGGGTGGCATGTGAGAGTGGGGGGGTACCCAGCCGTGGTGGGGGGGGATCCCAGTGGGGGTTGGGGGAGGGTACGGGGGGCACATAACGGGGATGGGGGGCACCCAGTGGCGGTGGAGGAGGGTACGGGGGGCACATAGCAGGGGTGGGGGGATCCCAGTGGGGGTTGGGGGAGGGTACGGGGGGCACATAGCGGGCATGGGGGGCACCCAGTGGGGGTGGAGAAGGGTACAGGGGTCACATAGAAGGGGTGGGGGGATCCCAGTGGGGGAGGGTACCGGGGGCACATAGCAGGGCTGGGGGGTTACCAGTGGGGGTTGGGGGAGGGTATGGGGGGCACCATGTGCAGAGGCTGGGAAGGGGGTCATATAAGAGGAGGTGAGGGGGCACATGGGGCACCAAGTGGGGTGGGGGTTGGGGGGACCTGTGGAGCAGAGGGCATGGAGGTTACCTGGTGTGGCGGGGAGCACCCAGCAGGGGAGGATACAGAGGGCACCCAGTGTGGGGGGTACTGTGGGGCATATGGTCTGAGAGGAGGGATGGTACTGGTGGGTGGGCTGTTTGGGGGAGGCTGGGGGGGGTCACCCTGTAAGGGGCAGGATGAAGAAGGGAGGAGCTGGGGGGACAGGGCATGGGGGGGGCTGCTGTGTGCACCCTGGGGTGGGGGGGGTTCTAATTTGCCTGGGAGCAGTGGCTGTTGGGGTAGCGGCAGCAGGGGATGGGGTGACTTACGGGGTACTGGGTGCATGGGAGAGTCGGGGCACCCCTCAGACCCATAGCTTGGGGAGTCCTGGGGGGAGACACTGAGGTAGGGGCCCTGACAGTGTCTGTCCCCCCCAGGGTGTCGATATCCGACACAACAAGGACCGCAAGGTTCGCCGCACGGAGCCCAAGAGCCAGGACATCTACCTGCGCCTGCTGGTCAAGGTAACGCGCCCCCCGCCAGGACGCCTGGGTTCTCTCCGCTGGGGGAGTGTGGGGAGTGAGGACTCCTGGGATCTGTCCCTGGCTCTGGGAAGGGGAGGGGGGGCTGGGAGCCAGGACACCTGGGTTCTGTGCTTGGCTCTGCCGCTGACTGATGTGACCTGTGCAAGCGCAGCCAGTAGACCCTTTCGCTGCCTCAGTTTCCCCTGGGTGCCTGTGGGGTGGGGGTGGGGCGAAGGGCTCCCCCTGACGGCCATGTTCCCCCAGCTGTACCGTTTCCTGGCGCGCCGCACCAGCTCCCGCTTCAACAAGGTCGTCCTGAAACGCCTCTTCATGAGCCGCACCAACCGCCCGCCGCTTGCCCTCTCCCGCATGGTACGTGGGGACCGGGGGAGGGGGGGGTCTGCTGGTGCCCCTCGACCACGGCCCCTGCTGGCCCTACACAGCCCCAAACCCCGTCCCGCGGCGGGCTGGCCCTACCCTCGACCGCAGCCCCTGCTGGCCCTACACAGCCCCAAACCCCGTCCCGCGGCCCCTGCCGGGCTGGCCCTACCCTCGACCGCAGCCCCTGCCGGCCCTACATGGCCCCAAACCCCATCCCGCGGCCCCTGCGGGGCCGGCCCTACCCTCGGCCCCCGTCTCGCGGCCCCTGCGGGGCCGGCACCACTCTCAACCCCGTGGGCCCTACACGGCCCCAAACCCCGACCCACGGCCCCTGCCGGCCCTACCCTCGACCGCCGTCCTGTGGCCCCTGCCGGGCCGGCCCTACCCTCGACCTCCTGCCTGAGTCCCTGTACCCTGGAGATACTGACAGCATGTCCGGGGAGGGCCATGTCCCGGGGGCACTGCCCAGAGGGGGGGGTCCTCACTGAGCCTCTGCCCCCTTCCTGCCCCAGATCCGCAAGATGAAGCTCCCGGGGCGGGATAACAAGACAGCCGTGGTGGTGGGAACCATCACCGACGACATCCGCATCCACGACATCCCCAAGCTGAAGGTGAAACTGGTTCTGGGAGGGGAATGGGGAGTGGGGGGGAGCCAGGATTCCTGGATTCTCTCCCAAGCTCTGGGAGGGGAGTGGGGGGCTAGTGTTTGGGATGGGGGCAGGACTCCTGGGTTCTCTACTGGGAGGGGAGTGTGGGGGGGAGGCTGGGGGCCAGCACTGGGGCTGTCACTGACCCGTCTCTCCTGGCAGGTCTGTGCCCTGCGGGTGACCCAAGGAGCCCGCAGTCGCATCCTGAAGGCAGGGGGTCAGATCATGACCTTTGACCAGCTGGCCATGGCAGCCCCCAAGGGCCAGGGCACCGTGCTGCTCTCGGGTGAGTCCTCCCACGCCCTCTGCTGGGACGGGCACCGGCCCTGCCCCACACAACTTGCAACAGGCAGCTGGGGCCAGCTGGGCTGCAGGGCCGGGGCTCAGCAGGGGGCGCTGTCCCCGGGCAGCCAGTTTGAACAGGGTGGGGTGTTAGGGCCTGCACTGTTAGTGCTGTTGAAATGGACCTGCCCCACCCCAGAGGGGCAGTGTCCCAGCGCCGGGCGAGGGGTCCCTGTGTATCCAGCCCCCGCGCTCCACCCCAGAGGGGCTGTGTCCCTGCACTGGGCAAGGGGTCCCTGTATACTCAGCCCCAGCGCCCCACCCCAGAGCTGGCCGCCCCAGGCGGGGGGCCCTACATAGAATTATAGAACTGGAAGGGACTTCGAGAGGTCATTTAGTCCAGCCCCCTGCACTCATGGTAGGACAAAGGATTATCTAGGCCATCCCTGACAGGTGTTTGTCCAACCTGCTCTTAAAAATCCCCAGTGATGGAGATTCCACAACCTCCCTGGGCAATTTATTCCAGTGCCTAATCACCCTGGCAGGAAGTTTTTTCTAATGTCCAACCTAAACCGCCCTTGTTGTAATTTAAGCCCATTGCTTCTTGTCCTATCCTCGGAGGTTAAGAAGAACAATTTTTCTTCCTCCTCCTTGTAACAACCTTTTATGTACTTGAAAACTGTTATCCTGTCCCCTCCCAGTCTAGTCGTCTCTTCTCCAGACTAAACAAACCCAATGTTTTCAATCTTCCCTCATAGGTCATGTTTTCTAGACCTTTAATCATTTTTGTTGCCGTTCTCTGGACTTTCTCCAATTTCTCCACATCTTTCCTGAAATGTGGCGCCCAGAACTGGACCCAATATTCCAGTTGAGGCCTAATCAGCGCGGAAGAATTACTTCTCGTGTCTTGCTTACACTTCTGCCAATACATCCCAGAAGGATGTTGGGTTTTTTTGCAGCAGCGTTACACTGTTGTGGTCCCCCAGATCCTTTTCTGCCGTACTCCTTCCTAGGCCGTCATTTCCCAGTTTAAAGAACAGAAGTACTTGTGGCACCTTAGAGACTAACAAATTTATTTGAGCATAAGCTTTCATGGGCTAAAACCCACTTCATCGGATGCATTCATTGTATGTGTGCAACTGATTGTTCTTTCCTAAGTGGAGCACTTTGCATTTCATAGATTCTAGGACTGGAAAGGACCTCGAGACGTCATCGAGTCCAGTCCCCTGTCCTTATTGAATTTCATCCTACTGACTTCAGACCATTTCTCCACTTTGTCCAGATCATTTTGAATTTTAATCCTGTCCCCCAAAGCGCTCGCAACCCCTCCCAGCTTGGTATCGTCCGCAAACTTTATCCGTGTTCTCTCTATGCCATTATGTAAATCAGATATTGAACAGAACCGATCCATGCGGGACCCCGCTCGTTCTGCCCTTCCAGCCTGACTGAACCACTGATCACTACTCTCTGGGGACGGTTTTCCAACCAGTTCTGCACCCCCCTTATAGTAGCTCCATCTAGGTTGGCTTTCCCTAGTTTGTGCATGATCAGGTCTGCGGGACGGTATCAGAAGCCTCCCTAAAGTCAAGCTCTACCCTGCCGGCCTGGGAGTTGCCTCGGGCACAGCTGTGGGGGGGCTCCTGGCGCAGAAGAACGGGGCTCTCACCGCCGTGCCCTGGCAGATGGAGTTGCTGGCCCCGAGCTCTGCATAGCGCCAGGCTGCCCCTGTGGGCTGGTGGCCGGAGCAGCCCTCCTTGCGCTGTCTCTGAGCCAGAGGCCACGTCCTTCCCTCCGGGCCTTTCCTGGGAGTTGGGGGGGGGGCTGTGCCCCCATGCGAGGGGTCACTTTTGGTGTAACGCTGTCTCCCCACAGGGCCCAGGAAGGGACGCGAGGTGTACCGGCACTTCGGCAAGGCCCCCGGCACCCCCCACAGTCACACCAAGTGAGTACAAACCCCCTCCCGCCCCTGCTCCAGGTCCCGCTTCCTGTGCCTGGCCCAGCTGGGCTGAGCACGAGCCCTGGCTGGGGGGAAGTCCGGGTAATAGAGGCATATCCCCAGAGTGGATCATGTTCTTGTGGGGGGGGGGGGGCCGGCACTGCTGGGTTCTCTCCCTCGCTATGGGAGGGGAGTGGGGTCTGGTGGTTGCGGGAGCCAGGACTCCTGGGTTCTCTCCCCGGTTATGAGGGGGGGGAGCCAGGACTCCCAGAGACACTAGAGCCCCGTGACCTGCCCCGCTAATGCGCTGGGTCATGTCTGAAAACAACCCCCCCTTGTGCTGCCCCTGGAGCCAGCACCAGCCGTTTGCCCAGCTCCTGCAGGCACCTCGCTGCGGGGTGCCCCTGGGCCTTCCACCCCTGGAGAGCGGGCGGGGGGCAGCCTGTGAACTGGGCCTGAGCAGAGTGGGGGAATCCCTGGCATGGGGGGCAGCGCTAACCCCTCTCTCCCCTCCCCGCAGGCCCTACGTGCGCTCCAAGGGGCGGAAGTTCGAGCGGGCCCGGGGCCGCCGCCCCAGCCGGGGCTACAAGAACTAACGGCGCCGGCCCGCACCTGCCTGTGTCCAATAAATGGGTCAGAACCGTGGGCTGGCGTCTGCTGTGTTTGCTTGCGGGGCGGTCCCCTTCCCCCCACTAACCCAGAGGGGCCACGGGTCCCCGTATACCCAGCTCCCACGCCCCACCCCAGAGGGGCCATGTCCCAGTGCGGGGCAACGGGCCCCCGTATACCCAGCCCCCTCGCCCCAGAGGGGCCATGTCTCAGCGCCAGGGGAGGGGTCCCCATATACCCAGCCCCTGCGCCGTGCCCCATCTCGGCACTGGGTGAGGAATCCCTGGATAACCAGCCCCACTGCGGTGGGGCCGCGTCTCAGCACCAGGCGAGGGGTCCCTGGATAAGTAGCCCGTGGGCCGCCCCAGGTTGTAACAGTGTCTGTATTTGCCCCTGTCCCTCTCCCACAGACAGCAGCTGTGAGGGGGGCAGGGCTAGGTTTTGGGGGCACCTGCCCTTCCAGTGGGGCTCAGGCTCCCTCGCGGGGCTGCCCCCTGTACCCTGGCATTGGCTCCTCCGGGGGGGTGTGGGCTGCTTGGGGCCGGTGAGCAGTATGGAGCACTGTCATTCTCTCTCCCTCCCCTCCCCCCCCCCCCAATCTGTTCTGCCCCAAGGCTCTGCTGGATGGGCTCCGAGTCAGTGGGGCAGAGGAGATCCCAGCAGGTGCCTCACTTACGCTGCAAGTGGCCAGTGCCCTGCCCCTCCAGACAACCTCCCCCCGAGGGAGAGCTGGGGCCAGGACATGGAAAGCCCACCCCACCCCTGCTCTAACCACTAGACCCCACTCCCCCCCAAGAGCCTGGGGGAGAGAACCCAGGAGTCCTGGCTCCCAGCCCCCTGCTCTAATCACTAGACCCCACTTCCCTCCCAGAGCCTGGGAGAGAGAGAGAGAACCCAGGAGTCCTGACCCCCCAGAACCCACAATCCCGCTCTGTCAAGGGAGGGGCCGAGGGCTTTCTCCTGCTCCCCGTGGCTGCGGGGCAGGGCTGTGCCCCCAGGGAGGGCGTAGGTTGCAATACAGGTGGATTATTGGAGGGGGCCCTGCTCACGGATCTCTCCTCACCGCTGTTCCCAGGAACAAAGGGTTTATTTCCAGCCAAAAGCGGGGACAGGTTACAAATAATCCACGAACCCATCCGCATGAAGAGCAGCAGGGATGTGGCCAGTGGCCCTGCAGCCCCCCCAGTTTGGCAAAGGTGGGGAATTGCCTCCCCTCTGCAGGCACCCCCAAACGGCTCGAGCCCGGGGACAGGAGGGGGAGAAAACAAAGCGGGAAACCGAAGCAGCAAAGCTGAGGATAGAACCCAGGAGTCCTGGCTCCCAGCCCCAGTGCGCTCTAACCACTTGACACCATTTCCCTCCCTGACTGGGGGGGGGGAGGCGGTACTGGGGGGGGGGGGGGGGGTCCTGGGAGCCAGGACTCCTGGGTTCTATCCCTGGCTCCACCCTTGGCTGAGCATGGTCTTTCTGTGCCTCGCTTTACCCGCACCTGTGTGGAAGGGGGAATGATAGGGATCCAGCTGCCTCCAGCGCCCCGATACCATCCCATCCTCCTGCCTTCGTGGGCTGGAATTGGGGGGCGGGGGGGGCTCGGCCCCTCCCAGGGCTGAGGAGCAGGATTTGCCCCTTCCCCAACCATAGCCCCCTCCCAGTGTGGACCCCCCCAAGAGGAGGCATTGGGGGGCCAAATGCCCTATCCAGGCTGCCACATAGATCAGCTACAGCTGAGAGCAGGACCCCCCTGCCCACCCCCAGTGAGCCCCCTTGGATGCTCCCCAGATCTCCCTTCCCCCTAGCCACTGGCAGGGGGGAATCCAGGGCCCCATACCAGCCCCACACCTGCCAGCCATGGGGGGAGGCAGGGAATCCCCAAGGCCCACCTCCCCCCAGGGGCAGAGGCAGACCCCCCTGCCTAGGCCAGCCCCATGGGCTCATGCAGCAAGCAGGCCAGGTAGCAGCAGATGGCCCAGGCCCGCCCCACCTGGCCCTCCATGGCGGGGGGCTGGACCCCCCGCAGGAAGCGGAAGCGCAGGGCCTTGTCGGCCAGGCTGGCCAGGCTAAGCACCTGCCGGCTGGCCTCCCCCTGCCGGGCGCTGAGGGCCACGGGGCCGTCCTGCAGGAAGGGGGGCAGCCCCGGCCCCCCCTCCCCGCCCTGCAGGGCGGGGCTGCAGCAGAAGGCCAGGAAGCCGCTGGGCGCGGCCAGGGCGCAGCCCTGCAGGTCGTAGAGCCGCCGGCCCCGGCCCTCGAAGCAGAGCTGGGCGCAGTCCAGCACCACCAGTGGGACGCCCCCGACCCGCGCCGCCCGCTGCGGCTCGAACCGCTCCACGTAGCGCGGGCTGCACCGCACCGGCACCTGCGGGAGAGGGGGTGGGAGTGTCAGGCCCTGCCCGGCGGGGGTGGGGGGGGCTCCAGGCCACTCCCCCTTCCCAGGTGGGGGGACTGTCCCTCCAGGCCACACCCCTTCCCAGGTGGGGGGACCAGCCCCTCCAGGCCACACCCCCTTCCCATCTGAAGATGGGACTATGCTCCCCCCCATATGGGGGGGCTGACCAGTCCCTCCAGGCAACCCCTGCCCCTTGGGGGGGGGGCACCCCTCCAAGCAATGCCCCCTCCCCATGTGAGGGGTGGACCAGTCCCTCCAATCTATTCCGTGCACAGATTCTCCCCTACTCCCCTCGAGGGGGCGCCAACTCCCATCTGGCCCCAGGGTGGGGACTGGCTGGCTCAGGGGGTGGGGAATGGGGCCTGGGGCCTTTTCCCCCTAGGGGGCGCTGACTCCCATCCAGCCCCGGGGTGGGGAATGGGGCGCCGACTCCCATCCAGCCCCAGGGCAGGGACTGGCTGGCTCAGGGGGTGGGGAATGGGGCCTGGGGCCTTTTCCCCCTAGGGGGCGCCAACTCCCATCTAGCCCCAGGGTGGGGACTGGCTGGCTCAGGGGGTGGGGAATGGGGCCTGGGGCCTTTTCCCCCTAGGGGGCGCTGACTCCCATCCAGCCCCAGGGCAGGGACTGGCTGGCTCAGGGGGTGGGGAATGGGGCGCCGGCCCCAGGGTGGGGGCTCACCTGGGCCAGCCGGGTCTCCATGAGCTGGGTCCAGCTGAGCCAGTAGCGGGAGGCGGTGGCCTCGGAGAGGTGGAAGCGAAAGGCCAGATCCTGCAGGAGCAGCCCCAGCCGCAGCCGCACCAGCACCAGGAAGAGCTGGTCCTCGGGGCTCAGGGCGCTGGGGGGGCCCGGCTCGGCCCCCCGCTGCGGCTCCCCCTCCGTCAGGAAGGCCAGGAACGCAGCCAGGCGCTGGGCGCTGCCGAAGCCAGTGTAGAACCGCAGCCACTTGCCGTCGTCCCGGACGCTGGCCAGGCAGAACCGGCCCGGCCCGGCCCGGCCCCCCTGCTCCTTCAGCTTCTGGCTGATGTGCAGCACCGTGCTGCGGCTCCGCTCCAGCTCCTCCTGCAGCCCCTGCGTCTGGCTCGCCAGCTGGTCCCGCTCGCACCGCAGGTTCCGGTTCTCCGCCTCCAGCGCCGCGATCCGCTGGCCCAGCTCCGACGCCAGTGCCCAGCACTCGCTCTCCGACCTCTCCTACGGCACGCAGAGCCAGAGACGCGGCTGAGTATCCGGGGACCCCTCACCCAGCCCATCTGGGTTGGGGCACAGGGGCTGGGTATCCGGGGACCCCTCGCCCAGCCCATCTGAGGTGGGGCGCAGGGGCTGGGTATCCGGGGTCCCCTCGCCCAGCCCATCTGGGGTGGGGTGCAGGGGCTGGGTATCCGGGGATCCCTCGCCTGGCGCTGGGATGCGGCTGACTCTGGGTTGGGGTATGGGAATGATGCCCTCGCCTTGCAGCACAGCGCCCCCTAGTGCCTCGCCCCTCACCTGCAGCTCCTGGCAGCGCTCCTGGCTGGCGGCCAGAGCCTCCTGCGAGCTCTGCAGCAGCTGGCTCTGCCGATGCACCGTCTCCTGCAGCTCCCGCACCATGCGGCCCAGCGCAGCCGGCTCCTGGGGGACGCCGTAGGCCCCATGGTCGTGCTGCACGGCCGGCTGGGTCCCGCCCCGGTGCTGGGCATAGCAGGGGGACACCCCGGCCATCTCCATCAGCTCAGCTGCCAGAACCAGGTCCCCGATGCCAGACGGGGCTTCCGCTGCAGGGACAGGGCACGGGGTCACTGGGGGAGAGAACCCAGGAGTCCTGGCTCCCAGCCCCTCCTCCCCCCCGCTCTAACCACTAGACCCCACTCCCCTCCCTGAGCCGGGGGAGAACCCAAAAGTCCTGCCCCTCTGCGGGACGGTACCTTTGTCCTCAGGCGTCTCTCCTGGCAGCCGGCAACCCGGGCGGATTCTCCTTCTTTGGGGCTCCAGCAGGTTCTTCCGGGCGCCTCTCTGAGCTCTGCCGGGCGCCTCATCCTGCACTTCCTGCTCCGGCCCGTAGTGGGCGCCGGAGACGTCGTTCGGGGAGATCTTGGCAAACCAGTAAAGTGCCCGAATCACTATTGCTTATTGCTAACAGTAGCCAAGTCAGCCGGCCGTAAAGTGGCCATGCAGCAGCCTTAGCTTAACCAAGGCAGGAGGGGAGGGGGTTTTGGGTACCACAGAAAGGGCGGCTTCACCCTCCGCCCTTCCTGCTAAGAATGTTGAAATTGCTGAGACTTGTCTTTTAGAAAAACAGGAATCTGTCTATCAGGGCATGAAGGCACGTACTCTAAAACCCCCCACATCTGGTTAAATTAATGATCAGAAGGAAACCTCTTGCTTGACTCTTAAAAATCACTTGCTTAGCAAGTTTTCTTTAAGTGACGTCATCCTAGTGCTAATGTATAAATAAGGGGGGGGGGAAGTTTGCGTTAGTTGGACTGTTCGGGAGGGTTTCTTCAGGGACGTTCCCTCGGGACGCATCTCGGGGGTCCCCACCGGCAGACGGAAGATTTGGCCGACGGAAGTCTGCCGTTGTGCCATTTGAGAGCCACACTCAGCTTTGGTAATTATCGAGGGTTGGGGGTGTTTTACTAACCTGTTGCGGATGTGTGTGAGTGTTTGAGATTAAGTAAAGTTTAGCTTTAAGTTTAAGTGTTGTCCTGTGTGTGCCAGCCATCTATCGGTCGGATGGCCGTGTCTCCCCTGATTTATTTCCTGACACCACCTCGCACTGAGCAAAAGAGCTTTGGGTTGAAAGAACCCCGGGTAACAACGTGGCTGGGTTCATGATACTCCTCGAGCGGGGATGGATAAATTGGGGGCGGTGGGGGATAGATTCATTAAGGGCAAGTCATGCCCTGATTGCCTTCTATAATGAGATAACTGGCTCTGTGGATAGGGGGAAAGCAGTGGACGTGATATATCTTGACTTTAACAAAGCTTTTGATACGGTCTCCCACAGTATTCTTGCCAGCAAGTTAAAGAAGTATGGGCTGGATGAATGGACTATAAGGTGGATAGAAAGCTGGCTAGATCGTCGGGCTCAACGGGTAGTGATCAATGGCTCCATGTCTAGTTGGCAGCCGGTATCAAGCGGAGTGCCCCAAGGGTCGGTCCTGGTTTTGTTCACATCTTTATTAATGATCTGGAGGATGGGATGAATTGCACCATCAGCAAGTTCGCAGATGACACTACGCTGCGGGGAGAGGTAGATACACTGGAGGGTAGGGATAGGATACAGAGGGACCTAGACAAATTGGAGGATTGGGCCAAAAGAAATCTGATGAGGTTCAACAAGGACAAGTGCAGAGTCCTGCACTTAGGATGGAAGAATCTCATGCACTGCTACAGGGTGGGGACCGACTGGCTAAGCGGCAGTTCTGCAGAAAAGGACCTGGGGATTACAGTGGACGAGAAGCTGTATATGAGTCAGCAGTGTGCCCTTGTTGTGAAGAAGGCCAATGGCATATTGGGCTGTATAAGTAGGTACACTGCCAGCAGATCAAGGGAAGTGATTATTCCCCTCTATTTGGCACTAGTGAGGCCACATCTGGAGTATTGCGTCCAGTTTTGGGCCCCCCACTACAGAAGGGATGTGGACAAATTGGAGAGAGTCCAGCGGAGGGCAACAAAAATGAATAAGGGGCTGGAGCACATGACTTACGAGGAGAGGCTGAGGGAACTGGGGTTATTTAGTCTGCAGAAGAGA